TTCCAAAAACATCATTCTAAACCCTCTTTCCCTCTCTTCGAGGAAAACTACTGAATGAAATCATTTGTACTACTCCAAATAGCAAAAAACGCAATAATTTGTTGGCAATTGTTAAAACCCGGCAAGGCCGTTGGCGAAGGGAAATCGTTCTGTGGGAATTATGCATGCGAGCCGATTCAGTGGATTACCCTAATCACTGAAACCGGTTCTTGGCCGAAACGTGAATTCATCCTTCCCATTGTGCCATGTTTTAAATTGAATTTACTGATCCCCAATTAATTCTGTCTAATGCGAGCTGAGCAAAATATCCGGTGTGGATTTTTTGTGTTGCGCTTGAATGGCCCTAATGCATTTGCATGCATGAACGATATGAGATGGATATTTGCGAGATTTCCTTGCTAGAACATTTTGAAATTTTCACCAAAATGAAGATTAAAAAATTCCGAGCGTAACATCGAGTAGTAAAAACGATTGAAGTGATCACAAGGACGGGTGGCTTTTCTTATCGCCGAGCAAGTGCACAACCTTGGTTCATGGCATTCTTTCAAAAAAAAAACCATATGATTGTCGTGTGTGTATTTTTGTGCGTGTGTGTCTGTGCTTTTGATTGTATGTATATGCGTTTATACTACTGCATATGTGTGTGCGTTTACGTACACATATGAGCGTGCGAGTTGTATACGTGTGTGCTCACCTACGTCAATGATTTGAAGTATTAATCTAACTCGACTTTTTTTGCGTTTTATCATTCTGATTCGATTTTATGTATTTAGAAGCTGGCGTTGTTCGAGTGAAAGTTATCGGTCAGGCTCGCTATCAGAAGATTATTGGATTTGGTGGCGCATTCACCGATGCAGCGGGCATCAACATCAATTCGCTGAGCCAGCCGAGCCGTAAAGCCCTTTTGCAGTCCTATTTTGGGCCTAATGGTACCAGTTTTTAAATATTTATTCCCAATTTTTAAAAATGCATATTATCTTGCTTTTGTTTGCTACAAAACAGCTAAAGTGTTTTATTACGTGATCTCGCCCTTCGAAAAAGTTTTATTACGTGATCTTACTGAATAATCCGGTCTTTTTAATTCTGGAAAATAGCGATAATGGATAATACATGACATCCACCAATAATGACAAATTTGAATGACACCAATTTAGTGTTGTTCGAAAACCCGGCAATAAAATCTTTCGATTTTTGAAGAGGCTTAGAACAATACTAAGTCGGGACAACTATTGCATTACTCCCTTTACATCGATTGCAGCCTGAAAACTACTTCCGGCACTCTGGTACTTTTGATAAAACGATGACAGTGGATGGATGACAGGGTTTCAGCGACTCGGGAGCCCTCTCAGCCATGCCTATTCAATCTTAAATTTTTGATTTTATAAGACTTTTTCACTTCCCTTCAGAAGTACAAAAATGTTTTTTCTCATCGCAGTTATGCGTTAAAAGGATCCGGTCTTTGAGC